AACATAGATGGAAGAGCATACCTTTTAGTATAACCATCAAAACATGGAAAGACTAGATAGACTTTAATTTGATTAGATTGCATTTATTCACATTGATAGGATTGATATTATTTGGTAATTAATAGTATTTAAGGGAAGACCAATCATGCAACTAGTCAAAGTACCCTTTCTTGTGTAGACTGTAATATTCTATGATATTATCAAGTCATCTGTCTTCTACTCCAAAATCAAATCAGTGTTATTTCAGTTGGTAAAGAGGTTAATCAAGTTTTGTATTTTCTAGGAATTTATTTAAAATATTTAATATGCGTAATTATTTATCATAAACCTATCTACGCCTAAAATGAGATATATACATTTTAAAATATAAAAACAATGACTTACTGCATTATTACAATGTTTATGCACCACAGAATGTTATCAAAGTTTATCTTTTCTGACTGTTAGTTCTCTTTGGGGATAAACTACATAAACAGTGAAGTTATCAAAAGTCCATTCCTGATATGATTCTTATAATTTGTAAAAAAAAGGAAAGATTCCCTATGTACATTCAAGCCCCATCCATCAGCTGTATCTGGATATTTTTAAAAACAATATTTTTTCTTTGCAGATTGGCCTTAAAAATGCAATTTTGGAAAATGGATACATGTGCACAGGTGTAAACTATTTGAAAATGCTACGTGTGAACAACAATTGTTTTGAAAACATAATAAAACATTCTCTTTCAAAAATATCCAGATACATGTGGAGAGGATGTCGGTGTCCTGAAATTAATTGATATCAATTATAATCTATCTTATTTTCTAAAATGTACAAGTATTTATCACAAGGTAAAATTGGAAAACATTCATTACTAAAGATTTCAGTATTGCAATAATACTTATATGTGCTGAGACTCTTTCCAATTGCAAAACAGATGTGATTTCAAAATGTATAAAGCCTTTGAAGGTATATGAAAGAGAAGGACATCTGTGACTCTTAAATACAGATGTCCATCAACATTGATATTTAAGTAATAGCTTTCAAATCCATTTTGTTTTTTAAAATATTTGTTTTTTAAATAAAATATATAATGTGGTGATACATACCATCTATTAATTAAGGTAGAAACTTGTCAGACTACATGGCTGCAATTCCAAAACTACATCTACTTGAAATCATTGGTGCAGCATTATGCCAGGCATTGGTACGAGGATTGTAACACTGAACAATATTAAGATATCCACATCCATCATGCCCTCCTACAGCATACAGCAGTTGATTGAGTACAGAAACACTAAGTCCAGTTCTTGGTTTATTCATTGGAGCAACCATTGTCCATTCATTAGAGATAGGATCAAAACATTCTACACTTCTAAGATGGGATACACCATTATGACCACCTACAAACATAAGTAATATTATAAAGGACTTTAATGTCAATAGATACAGCAATGGAAAGTTTGGGGGGTGGGGGTGAAGCGGAGTGCAAATTTATTCCATTTTTGTCTGCAGTAATCTTTTAATATAACAAACAAGTAATACTATTGAAATGTTTGTCTCTGATAAAGAATCTTTGAAAAACTCTTACAGACAAATTTGCATCTGTGACCTGATCTTTTTCAGTGTACCATTGGCATTTGGGCGCACATATTTAAATATTGATGTTAGGGCGGGCACGCTAGAGTGACGTACAAGAGCTCCATATATTTTTGGAAGCTTGATACAGCCATTCTTTGTTGTTCTCTGACAAAAATAGTTTTTGGTAGTTATTCTTCTCACTGTCTACAATTTTGACATTTTTGGTTCATTACTGAACACGACTTTAAACTTGAGCAAGAAGGAAGATGAATAATGGAGAGACAGGGTAAAAAGGGTCTGCAACAGGGGGGGGGTTGGACATCAAATCATGCTCTATCTTTCCCTGAAATTCCCCTCCTGCAAAACCCTTCCAGACCCTCTTCAAAGTCTAAACATTTGTAGATATAATTATAAAGGCAACAATTTCTGCTCAATTAATTAAAGACCTTGAGTAATGGTCCAGCTTAGGCTTGAGCCCATGGCCTCCTGCACAATAAACCAATGCTTAACCAACTGAGCTCACAGCTAATTAATATATATTGCTTAGATGTTAGAGAGCATTAATACACATCAATAAAATAATAAGTATATGTAATAGGACTCCATGCTGCCCAATTAAGAAATAATTGGATGAGGAAAATTCCGAGGACTTCCAATATTGGATGGGGCCGTAGGCTGAGTCCAATTTGGCAGTCAGAGGAATTTTTCGAGTCTAATTATTTTTTGATTGGGGAGCATGAAATCCCGTTACCTATTAATTATATAGCTGCCTAATTAATCCCATATCAACAAGACCTGTGCAATTAAGAAAATAATTGGACAGTTACCTATATGGGATTAATGAGAAGATGTATAAATAATAATAACTTACCGACTACAAAAAGACAACCAGAAATAACACCCACACCAAAGTTTATCCTATTTGTACTCATAGCAGCCATCATTTCCCAGGTGTTAGTTTCCGAGTCATAACGCTCTACAGTACTGAGGTATGAAGGTCCATATCCACCTAACGCATACAGGAAGCCATCTGCAACTGCTGTTGCAAAACAACTGCGACTAAACTTCATGGGTGCACAGTGTTTCCATTCATTTGATTTGGCATCATAACATTCCACAGTATTTAGGTAGGTTGTACCATCATATCCTCCTAGAGCATAGAGATACTCATCTGGAAGGGAAAAAGAAGCCTAAATGATAACAAATCTACATGTATCTACAGGTATCATACTTAACAAATAAAACAGCTTTTTCTGTGCTCCATTCTGTAATAAACATAGCTTTTCACACTTCTTGAGTGCTTACGGCGCTTTCCAAGTGCTTTATTACTGAATGGAGCACAAAAAAAGCTGTTTTATTCTTTTTAATATATAGTTACTTTTTTTTCAGTGTTGAATATATTTATGTAAAAAGAAAGACAGTTGCAGGTTCTAGCAGCACTTTGTGCGCTTGGATGGCATCAGCACTGTGCTTTGTTCACTGATAAAGCACAGTTTTCAACCAATCTGAGTGCATATCCTAACTCTATGATATGAAAGTCTTTACCTAGTGCTTGCACACAATGATTGCTGCGAGACTGGTGCATGGGTGTCATTACTGTCCATTCTGCTTTATCAGGATCATAGCACTCCACACTGTTATCACAGTACCTCAAGGGTGTACTAGTACTACTGTGTAAACCCATTCCACACACTAACCCGCCAACTGCATACAGTTTTCCTGTAGACCATAAAAAGTTCTAAATCAGTAATCACATTGGGAATGTATTTTTTTTAAATCTAGTGCAATAAAACAAGATTTCAAATGGTGCTACCTTGCACAGACAGGCTAACATTGACAAATTGAAAATTATTGGACGAGTTTGGCCAAGGTATTGTTAATGTCAAGACAAGGCTATATTATCTGCCCACGCCGTAGGCTGGAGATAAAACTGTGGAGGTCTTGAGCAAACGTATTTTATACTCCATTGCGACATTGAGTGAACTTGACATAAATGTATTATCTACAGAAAAACCTACAAATAATACATTTATCATGTCAAGTTCACACGATATCAGCTAGGGATGGCTGAAGGCTAATGTATAATTATATTAGTTATTGATTATAGTTTTTCTCTTACCATTTAAAAAAGCAGCTCCAAACTCGAATCGTCTCATGTTCATAGGAGTTACTTCCCGCCATCTTTCTTTCAGTGGTTCATATAACTCTACGCTACTTAAAGTCGCAAACAACCCATTTTTTCCTCCAAGCGCATAAATACGAGAAACTGGACGTCTCTGGGTTTGGTTGCCTTGCTCAAAGGAATGTCTTTTAGCTGGCATCAGACGATGTTTTAGAGCATTGTTTATTAGATTCTGACATTTACGGTCTGATTTTATCAACTCGTTTGATTCAAAACATTTGTTAAGAAATCGTACAGTTAACAGCGAAAGACGAACTGCTTGGAGTAAACTAGCTAGATAGGGTCCCCGCTCTAAAATCCTATATTTCACCCACGAAATAACAGCTTCAAAAACGACTTGTTCTGATGGTACGTTCAAGTTATCGTCTTTTACAAGTTCAAGCAGTTGGTTGAACGGCAATAGTACAAATTCTTCTTGTTGAATGACATAGCTGAAGTTATCTTGTACAAACCTTTTGGCTTTTTTTACCAAACCATAACAAGAATATGTCTCTGCAAACTTAGCAATGCCTAAGCAGTTACTAGGATGTAGTTGTTTAGCTAAAAATCTACAACACGCTTCTTTAACTTTAGTAAGTTGTAGCATATTGGCAGCTGGGAGTAAAAGTTGGACATTGTGTTGATTGACCTCGGCTTTGCCAGTATATGCAAAATCTACGAGGATTTTTAAAGCAACTTCATCGATTTCCTTGATACAAATGACTTGTTTTTGACTCTCAGACAGGTTGCCAGTAAACATTGCATCAAAATAAGCGCTACAAGCTGAGAGTACAACACGATGGGCCAACACTTGAACATTACCAACACACAGCTCCACATCACAAAGTTCACGTCGCTGTCTCAGTTGATTTAAACCTGAAAGAAGCTGCTTTGAATGAAGAAACTCTATCCCTACATTCTCTCCTTCGTTTAGCATGTCAATGTAGTGGTCTCCTTGGATTATTGATCTCCTTTTTAAAGATCAATGCTTACCAAGAGCGCTCACCAAGAGACCCAAATCTAAATGAGTTGAGAGAACTAACAAGAGTATTAGTGAGCCCGTTGTATTTGAGGCCAGCGTTGACATCATTATCACATGACGTCAGCACTCCAGGTAGGAACGATTATTGTGGACTTCTCGTATATAAGAAAGCTAATATGCCCACTGCTATATAAGATAAAGATGACGACGATGACATGATTCATAATTTTTTAAAGTTTTACACGAGTTAAATTAAGAAAACATTTTATAGTTTCTGTATGATTATTTATTATGCTATACATTGATATAGTAACACTCATTTCTACTTGCAACTTGGTTTATGTTTCAAGCATTCAGTTTTAACGTTTAATGTAAAATTACGGTATTGCTTTTATTTGTATTTGCTTTTGTTTTGTTATTGATTATAAAACAAAGGAACAKTAGATTCTAATAACAATTAGCGTGATGAATACTAATTAGACGTTGCTAAGCAACATCACGAAGGTCAGTATTGCTTGCTTTGCGTTAGTGGATCGGTAAACAGAAATCAATGTATGTGTAAACGAGTCATAATTCGTGGATTTGGTTGTTTGTAAAGCAATGGATATCTTCCGTGATAGTTTGTACGGACCCGACCGACTCAGTTCTAGCAACGCTATTAAAGATCTTCTGGTAAAAGATCATGTACTACAAAAAGGCGAGTGGGACTTGGAAGTCACCAGGCTAGATCCATGGAACACTACTACTTCGAACAACTTTAAGGTAAATTCCAATTTTCTCTGTTGTCGTTCGAAAACTGAGCCGTTTTTAGTTGTTTTATTTTAAAGAGGCTTTCCACCTTCACTATATTTAGATACCATGGCCATGGATGATAGATCTAGGTTCTGTAGTGTTGTGTGATGGTATATAGCGCGTGCTTGCATACGGCAACAAAGTATTATGATGCGTACGTAATCAAGGAATACGTTAATATCCCCCCCTCCCTGATACTTATAGCAGGTATCAGTGTACTTGGTCCTTTCAAAAGGCTCGTGAGTGATCACAGCTGCACAATTTCTTGGTGATTTTTTGTTGTTGTCGACCGTGGGGAAGAGTAATAAATCCGTAATGAGTATGTCAAATGGCTAAAACAGGGTGGAAATTTGTTTGAAACAACAACGAAATTCCTTTTTAATCTGTTTTTTAGTTCTGAACTGCCCACCGACTGCATGGGTCGGCGTAAAGATCAGTACTCGATCATACCTCCCTTGAACTAATTTTTTTTCAATCTTTAAAGAAACCACTGCCAGCACTGAATGACACCAGGAGAAAGGTCAAATCTGTAGATCGGGTAAGATAAGATTTCTCTCCAAGGCATGAAAAAATGCGCGAGGACCGGAATGAAGCTAGGCGTTATGGACTTGAGTAAGCTATCTATATAACACTTCTAATGCATGCATTGAATGTTGATATTTCAGGATGTTTCTAGTATTAGTTTTGGCAGTAGTAGTAACCATAAACTTCCTACAACATCAAAAGATTTTGAAAAAAAGTGGTTGGATGCTCCTAAAAAGGCGCAGCCTGACCTGGGAACTAGTATTCCTGTAAGTAAATTGTTAATATACCATTCTATGTCTGTAAGTGTATTGCTGATATACCATTGCATATCTGTAAATAAATTGCTGATACATCATTGCATATCTGTGAGTACTGGTGTACATTGGCTATATTCGTAAGTATATTACTGATATATCATTAGTTATATCTGTACGAAGTATCTCACTGCCATTATCATTAAGACTGAAAATTAATTTCACTTTTCTCTCGTTAGGATTTCGCGAAGAAATACTTGGTAAATAAGAAAATTGGAAATGACGGCTCGATCTATGATAGTTCCTTCAATGAAGCCAAAGTAAGCAGGCTCAATCTATAGTCATTTTGTTTTGCCACTCAGTATATTCAGTTGTTATTTATGGTCATCACAATTTATTTTGCAGAAGGTAGATACATCTGAGAGTACTAAAGAAAGAAAATATCACACAAGGGATTTAAGGACTACTCATTTTTACATGGGAGACACCCGCACTTAGTAAGTTGATGCCGATACTTGATTTTTGGAATATTCAGCCATTATAACTGAGTATTGCCCTTCATAATTTCTTGTCAGCTATGATACAGAGACCAGCAACAGGTTTCTGCCATCAAAAATGTCACCAGATAACCCATCATCCATTTCTACCAATACTGCACTTGAGACTTATCGATCCAACGTGTTCAGGAATGGAGACTGGAATGTTTCAGGACATCCAATCATGCCTTACTCTGTCACTCGGAACGACTTCTACATCAAACCATTCTCTTCGGGCATCACCGATAGGGCTCGTCGTCTTTCGTTGCCAAGGTATGTAATGTTCTACATGATAGTGATGGAAGTCATTCTTCATGGAGCTTACCTGGCTTATATGACTAGAACCGGCTTGCTGTCAGAGTGAATGAGATGTGTATTTTATACGGTATATGAGACTAAAGATTAATCAAGATGTATAACCAAATCTAGTAATAAATGTTAATCTGCAGACAAGCAAGTACAAAGGAAAGCAAATCCAAGATGTCATTAGGAAAAAGGATAAACAAGGCCATAACAGCCGACATGGCAGGACAGAAAGACAAAATACAACAGATATTTGCCCAGTATGATACAGATAGGTAAGACAATAAATGTTATTTTTGTAACCAAACTTTGTAAAAATATATCACATTCCATTCATCAAGATTGATATACCTTTTAAATATTTAAAAGATCTGGATGCATAACGAAAGAACAACTCAAAGTCATGATAACTACGTATGTACTATCCGTAACAGAAGAGGAGATAAACGACTTGATAACACGGTAAGTATGTTTACTGAATAAAGTTATTACGAGTATTAAATCGTACACTAAATTCTACTTGCTTTACAGGAGTAACAGTTTCAAACCTGGTGGAGAGATAGATTACAGTGTTTTAGCAGAGTACATTTACAGTAAGTGAAGATAAATCTGCCAATATTTAGAGGAGAGGAGTGGGACTTAGTGATTCGTTTTTCAAAATCCTGAATGGTGAATGGTTTTGTTGGTAGTGTCCAGGATTTTCCTAGCAAATGATTCTAAATGAATTCCTGGCAAATGCTGTCGTTATAACTGATTGCATGAGAAATTGATATTAGTATGGCTTGTTTTCCTGGTAAACAGTTGTTCTGAAATTCCTGGTATGAGGTTCTTGAGCTTTTATTTTTCACGTTTGTCAACTGATAAAGCAGAGGGAAAAGAGAAGCCATTTCTAAGCATCCAACAAGAAAGTTATATTAATACTGATCAGTCTAAGTGTAAGTTATACTGGAACTCACTACATGAAAACATGCTATCCCATCACCAATACTGATCAGCTTAAGGGTTAGATATACTTTTCCAATCAGTTCTAATGTATTCTATACTATTTGCTTACCAGATGATCCAAGTCATCCATATTACCACATCAGCACTCACTTCCAGGTATTTTAGGAGCTACAATACTAAAGGCCTTGGAATTCAGTGTTATATACTGATGGTATGTGTTTTACTTAATTGCAGCTTGGTGACCACCATGACGAACAGAAATCTGTCTCTCATAAAGGTATAGTAACGAGCCTTGTGTATATCAAGTACTACGTTATGAAGAACACTCGAAAAGCATCAAGGTTATTAGCTATTTCAATTCGTGAAAACGATCCAAATTTTTGTTTCCATTTCAGACTATGTGGTGGCCCGAGATTCGTGGCAGTTCAAGCCGTTGTTTGCTCTACCGCCTTTGTCTTCTCAGGTAATAACTAACCGTACTCAAGATCACTCCTCTTTTTGTTCTCTTGATTTTTGACATTGACATTTCCTGCAGGTTATCCCGGAAACCAATAAATTCAGTGTTCAAAAGTCTACGAAACAATCAGACTTCGTGTACCATGCTTCTGAAGGCAGAGCTGCTGCAGAGGTACGTAACTGACAACATGACATATAGAACACCTTCATATACCGACCGGTCCGTCACCTTCAGTAGTATATATGAATAAATAAAAATTGTTTGTATCATTTAAAGGCAAGAGAAAGAGAAATGAAGAGAAAGCAGGTAAAAATAACCTTTTTTAAAGCGGAACACTCTTTGTAATCGGTAAGGGGTCATTCAGTCTAATAATTGATCAACTAGGCCACGTTTACGAAGCATCAGACGTCATTTACCGGTTCAAATTCGATCATAGCAGTACATTGTTTTTACAAAAGAATGATAACTTTAATTATAAAAAAAAAGTAGGTTTGTTTAACCGAATATGCTGTTACAATCTAGTATCCAGATCCCTTAATACTGCGCATTATTCCGTTGAGCATGCGCAGTAATAATGGTTTTACGGTCTGATCATGTGCAGAGCAGGTTCTGAATTTGCACGGCTAAATAGAGTGGTTTAACTCGACCTGTTCAAGAAGAGTAACTGATAATACATAGTAGTACATAATAATTCCATTGTCTTTTGTTTTACTTTGGTCTTGTTTTACTGTTAGTCACTAGTTATGCAACTTTGTTTCACGGAACAAGTACGAGCACTCTAGGCGTTTGAACTCTTGTCAGGATAGATAGCAGAGCTCCTTATAATGGGTCTGTAAATGGAACGCCTAAACGTATACGCATACAACTCTTTGGTTGGTTTAAATTTCAATGAGGTATTATGTAAACGTAGCCTTATTTATATATATTTTCCTTTTACTTATTTAATTACATGGGTGAAGAATCGTTTAGCCAAACAGTCGATTGAGCTGGCCGCTAACCCTTCAACAGCTCAAGCCTACAGACAAGCATCAGGTCAGGACAGACATGAAGACCTATTACACCCATTGTATTAACATGACAATGTTTTCACTAACTGTTTATATGTAATATTTCAGTGTTCGGCAAAGATTTCCCTTCACCTCCTGCAGACTTTAGACCATTGACTCCAAGACGTGCACCTCTGTCAGAATACCGTCATCTGGATACAAATGGCGCATTAATAGTACCCCCTACAGATCCTTATATCTCGGAGAAACAGGTACAGACTGGGAAAAAATAGTTTATGTATTGACCGGGAAAAGATTTTATCTCACGAGTCTTTAGATCTAGAAGATTTCTAAGTACATTCATGATTTTTGGTGTTTTTTTTTTGTCGAAGGAAAAGTTTCAAAATCAAGATTCTCTATCAGTGATGCTTAAAGAGAAGAATGTGGAATGTTTGGAACGAACCGGTGACAACCGCACCTCACACTTCATCTTAGGAGCAGACAGCGAACCAAAAAGATCGGAGCAGGTGAACTAAAAGCATATTTTGCGACTGAGACAATGTTAGACACGTAACCTGATTAACTGTCTTGCCTCATTTCTTTTTAGCATCATCAGTTTTCTAAAAAGGCCCCTCTTGATTCAAGTGTACCGGCTGCAGGAAAGAAACAAACCGCTGAACAAGATTACTCACATGTCTATCCGAGGTAAATATTCCACATGCCAAGCTAGAACTGTAATGAGCTGAATAAAATGAACCTCAAAGTTTACTTTCCTTTTATCAGTGAATCAACCGAAAGAACCGTCATTTCGAAGCAAAGTGCAGTAAAAGACGATGTGAGTACCATACAGAAGAGACTGAAGGAAATGAATAAAATGAGGTTAGTAGTAACACCCTGTATTAGACAATATAAGTACAAAACTAATACTAAATGATCTAGCCCTAAGATACTTAATCTCTTTATCGAGTTTAGTTTAAGGCCCCCTCCACACGTATCCGGAAAATTTTGTATCCGCAAATCTTTTTTTGCGGATACGAAAATGTTCGCATCCACACGCAGCGTATTCGAATCGTTTTCGGATCGTTTTCACTGTCCACACGTATCCAGAAATTTCTTGATCCGCTCTGATGTGCGCTCAGAGTGCCTAGGCCCTTTGAAGGATAGTTTTCTTATTGAGCATGCGCAAAATCTTGTTTACGTCAGCGTATTCGAACATTTGCGTATACGACCGTCCACAAGTATCCGTATTCGGAGCGTTTTCGAAAATTTCCGGATACGGATACAAAAATTTCCGAATACGTGTGGACGGGGCCTAAAAATCAAACGACTGTTATTGTTTTTTAATATTTATTTCGATTTTCTATTCCAAGAGACCCGATTAGCCTGGATATGAGAAAAGCCTTTTTGGAATACGACAAAGGCTTCACTGAGCAGTTGGCTTTGACAAGAGGGACAAAACCAGAGATGACGTCAGTCATGAAGACAGATTACCGCCCACCAGAAGAGAAAAGGTATTGGTATTGGTAGAATACATATTATCACGGGAAAGAGGCAACATTTATAATTTTATCTTCAAACTTGTTTTAGTTATAGTTCAGCGCAAAAGGGTAGCATTAATACGACAGCCAAACCCTTTACCAGTGTGGACTCTCACTACTTTCACTACGATCACTCCAAAGGTAGGCCCATCTTTTCTACATGTATTTAATATCATACTTATTAACTGACATTCGATAATATATTCCTCAGAAAGAACAAAACGTACAACTACTGGACATGATTTTTCCAGGCCAGACCGTCTTGGTGTCGGTAAGTCGGTGATGTGTTCAACACAGCTTAACAAATCAAATAAACCTCTAATTGAGACTATTCTCTTCATTACCTTAGAACCAAGAGGCTTGTCAGTGTTCTGACAACCAGCTGCTGATATTCGTGTCAATCATCATCGTCAATGAACGTCGTGAGATATCCAGAGAAGCATCCCTCAGTCACGTGATATACCATGAGATGCATCATGGGGTGACACACTTGCATTTGGATATATCAGCTCAGTAGATTGTGTGTTCAATCTCATATCAATATCAATGCTATTAATAGTACTAAATATAATGCATAATGCATGCTTAATGTATACTGATTTAAGTTGCAGCTACTTTAGTAATGACAAATACTAATCAAGTGGAAAGAAAAAAACATTTTTCCAAACCGACATTTCTAGTTACTAATGCTAACAAAGTCTTTCAATAAAGTGTGAAAGTTGGATTAAAAGACTAAAGGAAAGACTAAAAAGCAAGTTTCGTTGTTAAATGTTTATAGGTTCTGCTAGTCTTGTTCATCAACTAATGACGAACTTTCCTTCTCCATCTCTTTTTGATCCCTTTGCTTTTCATTCTTGGTTACTCCCATTTTCACTTCCCAAAATGATTTCTTTTTCTTTTTTTCATTATTCTTCTCACTCAATTTTAGCCATTTTTTCATTTTCTTGAAGCTTAGTTGCCCCGTGTCGCCCTGTGGACCAGCAACTGCACAAAGAGATTGAAAGAAAAACACTGAAAAAAACCAACTAACGGTCATGACAAGCATCAGAAAATGACCCATTTGTATGTAGGACAGCACGGCTGACGGCATCATGAAGGCTCCTAGAAGAAGAAAAAAGCGTGATGTCTGAAAATTCTAAGTCGCGCATGTAATGTATAGATCAAGTAATGTCATTTTACCTGCCAGGAATGTTGTAACAGCAGCCATGCTGATAGCAGATCCCATACGTGACAAAGAGTAACGCACTCTTGACGTACGACTTTGTTTTTCAGAGGCCAAACAATATGCCACGCCAAAATGCATGGAGAAGTCGATGGACACACCCACAGCAACAGACATTGTGATGGACTCCAATATATTTAATTTCCATCCACTGAGCACTAGAGATCCAATCGTTACCGAGATAATACCAATGATTGTCAAGATAGCATACAGACTGACAAACACGTTCATTGTGGTCAGCAACATTACGGCAAAGGCTGATGCTATGGCAATGCTTAGCGACAGAAGTGTACCACGTGACAGACTTTGTTGCAAATTATAGAATTCCAGGTTACTTGTAAACCAACCCTTGTTCATACCTGGCGGGGCATTTTTCATTTCCTGTTGTATCCATGTCTCTATTCGCTCCCAGAATCTGTGTGCAGGTTTGTATGCTCGAGACAGTCTCACGTTGCTCATTATTCGAAGCCAGATTCCCTTGAGGTTTCCTTGCGGATCGTAGATGAAGCTACCAATCGTTGAATCTTGCACTTTGAACCGTAGAATCTTCCTTCGATAAGCATTCGTAATGGCACAAAAATTAAGTATGTCTTTTGAGTAAGGAAAAGTGGAATTCTTGCAGCATGGATAGTAACAAAGTTTGGGGACGAGTGGATCGTTGCACGTTTGATTATAGTAGACTTCAATGAAGCATTTCTTTTCAGATCCTAGTTTCCTGGCATAGAAATCTTGAGATCTTAGTCTTTTGCAGAAGTCCAAGAGCCATTTCTGGGATTTTGGACTAGCGATATCGAAATCCTGATCCCATCCAAACTTCCCATAGCTATAAGGGTTTAATTGATCTCCGTAATCATCAGGTTGTATCCCCCAAAATATGTCTATCGGAAAAGTAGCGCTTTCCTGCGATGGACTTATTTCAAAGCGGAATTTGTCTTTCAAGTACAGATCATACTTTTCAAGTGGATGGGAAGACGCGAACATCTGAAAATCAGAAGATGTTGGGAACTGAAAACCTGGAAATCCAATAATAACAAACAAGCCTGCTGCAGAAAGACAAGAGAATAATGAGATCCAGAAAAACCGGCAGCGAATGACAAGCTGGGGTAGGAACTCATTGAACATATAACGAGAGAACCTTGTAAAGGTGTTTTCATAACTAGTGCGGCATCTTGATAACCAATCTTGACCAGTGTTCTTAAAGGAAGGTCCACACATATTCTTTACACAGTATTGCTCATGAATGACGCAAACAGCTGGAAACCACGTGATCATCAAAGAAAACTTAGCCAAGATGGCGACCCCTGCGTACAACCCAAATAACTTGATGGTTGTGATTTCAGACGAAAAGTTGGCCATAAAAGCAGCAGCAGTTGTCAAACTGGTGACAAACATGGACAGGGAAGCATGCTTGAGGGTATAAGACGTGATTGTCTTTAGAGATGCTTCTGGATGTTCTCTTTTTGATTGCCTCCATACGTCTGTGTACACAAATGCATCGTCAGCTCCAATACCCACCAGGAATATCAGGGTTGTAACATTCAGGAAAGGAAAAAAATCCAAACCGAAAATGATCATATATACGAAATAAGCTAAGATCAGAGCGCTGACAACTGAGACTGAGAGGAGAATGGTAAGCAGCAAGGACTCGGTATAAAACCACATGATTACCAGGATAACCATGAGAGCGATCAAAGGATAAACAAGATCAGCAATCAGTTGAGTGTTAAACATGTTAAACTTAAACGAATGAAAGTCAGAACCAATTAATTGGATTGATCCATCCTCGACCGGCTTGCCGTCCTCAATGTATTTATAATAAATCTTTCTCGAAAAGCGAAGGTCCTCATGACGTGGAGTTAAAACTTGAGTGTATTTAAGATGCTRACCGCCCTGGATTCCATGAAAGTCTTTATCAGATAAATAGTAAAGAATGTTGAAGACTGCATTATACTGAATACAATCTACAGGAATATCTTCGCAATAGGGATATGGCACCCCATAAGCAAAGTTCCAGCAGTTTTCTTTTAAACTTCCATTGTTGAACATATCAGAACACTTTTGAAGTCGTTTTGCAATGCTCAGAACATCATCATCGTCTATGTCGTCACAGGAAGCTTTACCGCGTATTGATGCTACGTAGTTCCCTATTGACCAACTAGGACAACATTCTTCCTTTGTCACCCTGACCTGGTTATATTTCTTTTATAACACTTTCTTTCGTATTCGGCAAATTTCTTAATGACCTTTTCTTCCAACCTACATACTGCTCTTAACTTTATAGCGGTCATCAAACCCATTCCATCAGACGAGGTGTAAATAGTTTTGTAATCCAGTCGAGATTTCATGTATACGTTGGGGCTGTCACACATTTGCAGTGCGGCCGCGTTGCCGTGTTTATCTCGACGTGAACGAAACCTTTTTTTGTGAGGCACAGACCGCATTTCTCTCGTTGCTCTTGATTGAATGATGGTAAAATTAATGCTTGGACAGTTTTCGACTACAGAATGCGTAAGTGCAGTATCTRTAATGGCTTTCATCGGAGGAATCGGCGAAAACATTTTCCTGCCAATTGCGATGGTGAGAAATAGGCGGGTCCTCCAACGTCCATTAATTTGACTTCCTCGAGCTTCAAAACCCTAAATAAAAAATTATCATAAGTAGTCATTCCAATGTATGTTTTAAGATTGCTTTGCCTTGCTTTAATAGTTCTCGGTTTTGACAGTATAAAGTATTATTGTTTGTGCTTACCATAACAGGAGTCGAAAAGTCTGGAAATTCAGGAGCGTTAAAAGCAGGAACAAAACTACAGAGGGAGCAAATAAAGATGACGAAAAGAGTCGAGAAGAAAAGGAGAAATGGATGTTCCGCCACGAAAACAGAATAGCTAGAAAGTAAATTAAAGAAAATATCAATCATTCATTGTGAAGGAGTGGGGTCCATGCTGGGTTGGATAGAGTGGGGTCCATGTAGGGTCGGAGGGAGTGGGGTCCATGTAGGGTTGGA